GGTTTATCGTCAGAGGGGGGTACCCAGCGGCGGGGAGGGGTGGGTGTGGGGTCCCTGCTCCTCCCGAGCTGGGTGGGCTTGTCGAGCCCAGCGCCCCTCCGTGTGCTGCTTCCCCTTGTACGTTAGGGAGGAGATTTTGCCTCCCTTGGGCTGGCAACTGCTGATGCAGATTGCTGCGTTAGGGCCACTGCTTTGCTAATTCTTTCCCCGAGATGGAATAATGAAAGTGGTAACAGGCCGGAGGGATTTAATGGCATAGCAGAGCATGTCTGGCAGCAGTGCAATTGCTGCATATGAAACTAAACTTTCGGATATTTCAGGTTTCTTTGCTGTGATTCCCCCCCACCTCAAACAGCTGTTACTTTTTCTATTACTGTTTCTCCTCTATCTTCAAGAAGAGAAGGTAAAAGAGAATGTATCTCGTGGAGAGTGGGGAGGAGACAAGACTATGCAATATTTTTGTTATCCCTGTCAAAAATAGGAATTGTGTAGAGGCCCGTAGTAATAACAGGATCTCAGCACTGATATTACGAAGTAATGAGCAGTTCCTTTTTCCTTTTACATATAAAGTGATTGACCTCGATGGGTCTATTGACCTCTGTTTTGGTTCACAGTCTGGAGGGTGTTTTGGAATGTTTTGTTTATTTTATTTTCTGGGTGGCATTATTTGTGTCTCTGCTGTATTCAGAAACAAATACTGACAAATGTTTAGTGTACGTAGATTAGATTTTGCTGTCATCAGTGTACCCAGTTAGAAGTCAGATGGATGTACTCCTATTACAGTAAAATGAGCCTAATTCCATGAAGAGAACTGTAGAAAAAGTGGGGAGACACTGAAGGAGATAAGATGAGAAAGACTCAGCATAATTATTTATTACTTTAGGCATAAAGCCATGAAAATAGCTTCTAATGGTTTTAGACACTTTCTGCTTTTCTGATAGCTCCAATTCACTAATACAGGCTTCCTGATAGTATCTTCTTACCAGACTCAGTGTGGTCTGTTTGTAAGGGAGTTGGGCAAGTATTAGTCTTTGACCCTTTTCCATACCTGAGGATGTACAGATGCACACATTTGTTTATCTATGAACACACATATACACAGCAGTCATCAAAACCAGTTGAAATACAGTTAAGAGGCTACAATTCACTAATACAGGCTTCCTGATAGTATCTTCTTACCTGACTCAGTGTGGTCTGTTTGTAAGGGAGTTGGGCAAGTATTAGTCTTTGGCCCTTTTCCATACCTGAGGATGTGCAGATGCACACATTTGTTTATGAACACACATATACACAGCAATCATCAAAACCAGTTGAAATACAGTTAAGAGCTTACTTTAAACTCTGAAAATGTGGAAAATGGAAATGTATAACAAACAAATTTGTTTTCCAGTCCCACTGAAAGAAAGGTCGCCAAGTCACATGAGTATCAGCATGGAATAGAGCTACTGCTGTGCTTCTGCTCTGATTTATATTCCTCCTCTGACATCAGAACAGTAGCACAGGGCAGCACAGTACATGATCTACCATATATTCTCCAGTTATTTCAAAAGTTCTTGGTTTCAGGCATCAGTTTGTACTTTTCAGTTTGTTGTAAAGTTTGATCTTATTTATGCAGTGTCAGTCCAAAAAGGTGTCAGCCCTTGTCTGTGTTCCCTCAAAATACCTCTGTGAGGAAGGTACAGCTGGGGAGCTGAGGCACAGAGAGACCAAGAGAAATGTGGAAGGTCTCCCAGGAGATCTCTGGGAAGGAGGAGGCAGTCTTAAGATATGATTTTAAGATTGCCTGAAATACCAAAAGAGGTGTCCATCGTACTACCCACCACCAACTCTTTCTCAGCTTCTTTCTTTAGTTGATACTAACAATTGTGTGGGTATGTGGTGAGTCAGATCTTCCCATTGATCCAGCTAGAATTTATTTTTGTATGGCTTTAGTGGTGTTATTTTTCAGCGCTGACACAAGGGCAAGATTTGGGAGGGTTGGGAATGAATGGTGAGGAGGCTGGTATGGGGACCATGGTTGTACACTTCAACTGGCTGTGCAATCATTCTTTTGGACTCTTGAGTGCCAGTCCAGTACCCTGACTGTGAGACTGTGAGTCCTCCCTTCGTTTGAACATGAGGATTCATTACAAGCAAGTTTTGAGTCTTCAATTTGAAGTTTTGATTTCAGCTACTCTCAAGAAAATATTTTGTCCTTTACAGGGACTTTGTAAGTATTGGACCAAGTAATGTTTCAACTATTTGAAAGATATTCTGCAATACCAGAACCAAGTGAATAGTCGTCTCATAGTCAAAGTCCGTATCTGTGAGTGAGTGTGAGTGAGTGAGTGGTTTCTGGAAAGGACCGGCAGCTTGGAAGATAAGTTTGACATTTGATCCATTTGACTCTCTGGCCATTATAAGAAGGCACAGTTTTTGGCACTGGCCTTGGCCAATTTGATATAGGAGTCAAATAGTTCCTAATAGAATTAAACCCAGAATAGTCCCAACCCTAAAATATTCCTGGAGATTCGGCTGGCAGGAAGCAATGTGCTTATACTCTGGTGCAGAGCCAGCCTTATGCTGCGGGTTGCTTTCTGATATGGGACATACAAGTGAATTGCACCTGTCTCCCAACTGACCAGGTGTATTGTCAAATCACCTGCAGGAATGTGGTCTGTCCCATGCTGCTGTGACTATGGGGAAGTTTGGAAAAAATGTGCACATAATCAGGTTTGGACAGAGTTTGCCCTCCTATTTACAGAACAACCAGAATCACCCTGCTCAGCAGAGTGCTCTGGAGTTCTCCCTCAACAACTTGTCCAATTCAAGGGTCATGGCTGCTTATGGCCCACTTCCAAGTCATGTGTCCAGGTCTCCTTTCCCGGGAAAGAAGAATATGCAAGGAGAGTGTTTGTCTATGTTTCACTTTGATGAGCTTGGCATGCTGCAGTTGAGATAGAACCACAGTGATAGACGTTGCTTGAAACCAATGGGAGTTAAACACCCTCTAAGATCTAAGCCTTAGTACTTGCCCAAGACTGTGTGGGAATCTTGTAGGAAAGTAGGGACCTAAACTGAGGTCTCCTAAAGTCCTGTGCAGTGCCTTCACTGCTCCTCTAGAGGAAGTAAATCCAGGCTCTGATTTTGATCTGAGAAATGCACCACTTTGGGGGTCTGGCTGGGAATTTACTCAAAAAAAGTGGGATAGGAATTCATGACAGTGTCTTAGGGTTGGATTGATGTAGGAACTAACAAATAGTTAAGAAAAAGACTTTCAAATGTTCTTAATGATGTTCAGTTTCTAACCTGAATGAGTTAAAATATTAAGAGTTTTGAATGTGATATCACACAGCATTAGTGACTTTACAATGTGTTTACCATTTACTAATAAACAGAAGTACCTCTTTTTAAAATAATGGAATGATAGTTATATGAGCTTTTGTAGTTAAGAAGTCATCATTACTATGGTTGTGGTACAGACATGAAGGGCTCAGCTTAACTTTGAAAAAAAAATCCATCTAGGGAATCTTCATCTGAAGTATTTTCTTCTCTTCCCTACATTTTTATCATAAATCTTTTTTAGAACATAACCTCTGATACTGTTTTTCATGGTAAAGGATATGTCAATAGTAAAATTCCATTAATTGGTGTAGAGGGAGTTGATGTTACTGCAAAGAAAACTGTATTGCTTCAGAAACAAAAAAATAAATATTTGATACATAATAAAAGAGTGGCAGTAAACACTTACCTAGTAGTCTTGGAAATGTTGTCACTTACTTTTTTGTAAATGAGGAATAATTCCCTTGAAGGGGCCCCAGTCTAGTTCCCAAATGTAGTTGGTCTCTCTCAAGCTTTGCATCTTCAAAACAGAAGCCAAAGGCAGAGCAGGGGACCAGATAGATCAGGTTTGTAAAATTGTCATAATCTCAGTGTCAGCAGCAGAGCTGCAGTGATTCATTTTACCTGAACACTGGCCCAGCAGTTTTTGGCTCCCATTTCACAAGTTGTGTGGAGAAGTTCTTAGGAAAGTCAAGTGTTTTGTGCTTATGCCCATCGCTTCAGTATTGGACCAGGGTCTCATCAGGTATTAAAAGCATAACCAAAAGGTGTGTCTGTATGTGTTGTTTTCCTTTGTGCTAAGCATTTGGTTTGTGTTATGTTTACCATTGCTGCAAATCTTCCTCTCCTGGCCTACAAAACCAGTGCAGAGTCATAACTGTAGAACCTGAGAAAAGAGGCTGAAAGAGACTTAAATGTTACATCCCTGCTAGTGAATGAAACGGTGCCAAAGTCCGTTCTTGGCGGCCAGTCCAGCTAGTACTATCTGTCCACGTCTATTCTATAAAGCTCTCTTAACCTTTAAAAAAAGGTGACTACTTCTAAAGTGCCCATGGGAGTAGTCCCCGGTCCATCTTATCTCATTGGCTGTGCCTGGGAATTGTTGGGAGAGTGCTTATTGGCCTGTGCCTAAAGTGTACCGGAAGCAGAATTTGTAATTTAAATAAATTCAGTATAGATGACCAAATTGTAATGGTCAGGTCTGTGATGTGGTATGGTTGGGTTTACTGCTTTGGACACAGGCACAGTGACAGTCTCTGTTCCAAAGATTACAATTGCCTGTTCCTAAACCAGTCCCAACAGCTGTTTGTCCTGCTCTTCAAAATTTTCTGTACTGGAGATTTCATATCTTCCAGAGTAAGAATTCTAATTACC